GTACTGCTTTTGTCAGGGATGGCAGCCCTGCGCGCAGCAGGCAATATGCTGACACCCTCGTCGTCCCTGTCAACAAAACAATACGAGGTGCTCGCGGGCCTCACGAACATGACTCCAGACTTTGCCACAACAATAATTACGTTGTATTGTTTCTTGACAGGGATGTGTGTGTGTGTGTGTGGGGGGGGCCCTCATGGGGTTGTCGTGGTTCCTGGTTGGCTGCGGGTCCCCTGGGGGAGGGGGTGTATATTGATAGGGAACAGAGATAAACCCTCCCCGAAGGAGAAGAGGGGGGTTGGAGGAGAATCCGCTCTGGACGACCTACGCTCAGAGGGCTGGTGGGATTCTGGTCCGAACGCACCCCAGGAGAGATCTGAGCAGTAGCGGTATGGGTACCTGTTGGTTTCCCAAGTTCCCCGTTCCTTTGGCCGGCTAGGCTCGTGAGGGTCGAAACGGGCAGACGGAAAGACTAGTGACGAACACCCACAGCAGTTGTTGCCCGGTTTGAACATGACTCGCTGTCGGTGCTGCCGCGGACGTGGCTCAGCTCGGCCCAACATCGGCCGCTGCCGGTCGTGCGCTTCTTGGGCATCGTGTTTTTTTGCGTAAGCACGTCCGTCGTGTCAGCAGGCTTACCAGCTGCGACTCTCATCCCGCTCCCAGACTCCCGACGCCGTGAGTTGTTTCCAACGTTGGCAGGCACCTAGAGGTCTCGATCCGTTCCCAATTACCCATGACCAGTCTTCCTCCCGACTCGCATTTTGACGGCCCCGATGTCCCGCAAGGTCCTCCAGAGGCCAAAAGTAGCAAAACACCGCCCGTCGTGCTCTTTGACGACGTGGGGGGTCTAGGAGAACTGCTTCTGCTCTCCCCCCTCCTCCTCCTCCTCCTCCTCCTCCTCCTCCTGCTCCTCCTCCTCCTCTCCTCCTCCTCTTCCTCCTCCTCCTCCTCCTTCCTCCTCCTCCTCCGCCCGTCGTGCTTCTTGACGACGCGGTGGGGGGTCAGGGGTAGCTGCTCCTGCTCTCCCCCCCTCTGGTCCCCGGCGTGCGCACGGTTCGCGTTGCCCCCCTCGGCCTCGGCCCCTCGGTCGTTTTTCTGTGCCCCCCCCCTCTCTCGCCCACGAGCATTCAGGAGGGAAAAAACATACAGACACAATGAATCGTCGGTTCCCTCGGAAATATGGGAACATCTGGGAAGTGGAGGGGGAGATGAACATTTGAGACATATGACAAGCTATGGGGAATCCTGGGACTTGTGTGTAGTTCTTGTGTGTCCCTGGGCCCCTTCAAACATACAAAACGCCAGGGCTCATTTCGATGCCGCCGATTCGATTCGATTCGACTTCGATGGCTTCTGGGGCCGATGCGATCCGACTTGGGATTCCGCTTGGGGCCTCTGATTTTTCAAGGGAGGCTTACTAGGCTGCCGATCTCCGTCGATTCGACTTTTCCCGACTGGGCTGCCGACTCCTGCCGATCCGGTGCATTTCCATCGCCGATTCGATTCGTCGATTCGACTCTGGGGGCGCCTGTACACAGACACCCTACAAGGGATTGCTCCCGGGGCTCAGGGGAGGGTGGCGGTCCATAATTCACCACTGCGAGTCAGCGACTTTATACACCGCCGCCTTCCCTGAAGGTGCATGCAAAACTCGTCGGACGGTGTCGGTGTATATGCCTATACGACCACCCTTCTGGTGATGAGGAGGTTTGGGTGGGAAGAGCCAACTGACGACAACTGCGATGGCTCAGATGATGACGATGCCAGTGGTGCGCCCTCGAGTTGGCGACGATGCGTGGTGACGATGCTGCGTCGCGATATGACCCCACCTTCGACCCCACTCGATCGACTTCACCATCGATCGATCTTATTATCGACCTCACGGCCAATCCCACTGTCGATGGATTCAACTATCGATCCCACTATCGATTGCACATGAGTGGCGTTGGGCACGATCGGGACACCATCGGGACACCAGCTGTGATAGTTGCTTGCTGAGTGTCGTGGGTGAATGCTGATGACGATGTGATTTTTTTTTTCCTGCGCTCGTGCCACCGCCCACAAGTGAACTGCGCGCCAGTAGCCCGAGCCGTCGGACTCGGTGAACGAAACGGTGCCAGCACGGCTCAGAACCCGACAGAGTCCAGCATAGTTTGGGTCACCGAGTTTGGTAGAAGATGGGCCTAATTAACCTTAAGTCGGGCCTGTAACCTTATTCAAAAGTAGTACAACAATAGTCAGGGGAGTATTTGTTGATTATTTTTTTGATCATTTTTGGAGCATTTCCTATTTTTCGTCGAACATCCCCCTGTAGGGGGACACGCCCGACTTACAAGTAACCGCCCCCGCTGGTCTCCCGTGCTTGCTGCTGCCGGGGCCCGAGAGGCGGGCGCACTGCGCGGCGCCCCGAGCCGAAGCGGCGCTGGACGGGAGGGGGAGGGGAGGTAGGTAATATTAGGCAGGCAGGGGGGGCGTGAGCAAGGGGAAGGAGTCGAGGAAGAGAAATCGCCATCTGCACATTTTTTTGCGCTCCGCGCGGATCTCTTGGATCCGCGCTGGGCCCCCCCTGGCGGCGCCTCCAGCGCCGCCCCTGGCGCTGATCCAAGAACTTCGCGCGGAGCGCCATAAGTTTATGGTTTGGCAGTTTTGTTCTTCCCTCCGATGAGGGAGGCGATGCCTTCGCCGCCGCCGCCATTCTCGACCTGAAACGCCCAAACCCGAGCACCCCTTGACCGCTCGCGCGGCCCCGGGCAGGGGCGCACCGCGGGGAGCGCCCGAGATGCCGTCGCCGTCGCTGCAGCCCTCAACCACGAACGCCCCGACCTCGGCACCCCCCCTTGACCGCTCGCGCGGCCGGGGGGGCTAACGCGGGACACCCAGAAGATGCCGTCGCCGCTGCTCACGTGGTACGCGAGGGAAAAGCGGAGGGATGATACAGAGACCGGGTGGGCATTGACAGGTCACCGTCGGGGCGTTTGACGTATCTCACTTATCTCACTATCGATCAGACAGTCGGTCATACGATCGATCTCGTTATCAAAACATATGTTCTGCCGAATTCACTTCATCGCTGCTGCTATCGGTACCACTATCGAACTCACTGTTGATCTTACTACCGATCTCACTATCGAATTCGCTTGAGACATCTTATTCGGGTTTCCTCACCCTTGCGCTTGCGGTGCCACTTATTTGGCCTTGGGACGCTCGCGGCCACAATTGGCTGGGTGGTGGCATTAACGTTTGGCTTCGGGGCGCTCGCGGGACACAGGCGATCCCGTGGTTGAAAACAGTTTGGCGCATCGGGTTCTCTGTGATCCCCGCCAAGTCTCCCTGTGGACACTGCCAGGACAATATCGAGACACCGTCGAAACACCATCGGGACACCAACAGGACACCCACCAGGACACCAATCGGGGCACCATCGGAGCACCACTCTCACTATCGATCTCACTTTCGTTTTCACCACCGATCTCATCACTATCGATCTCACCAGGAGACACCACAGGACACTGACGGGGCACCCGCGGGACACCGACGGGACATCGACGGGACACCGACGGGACATCGACGGGGCACCGACGGGACACCGACGGGTATCACAGTTGATCCCGTGGCCGGTGGTCACGACATCGAAAGCAGTTTGGCGCATCGGGTTCTCCGCGACCCCCCAAGTCTCCCTATGGACACCACCAGGACACCATCAAGACACCATCGAAACACCACCAGGACACCATCAGGACAATCATCGGGACTCGAATCGTGACGCCGTCGGAGCACCACTATCACTATCGATCTGACTTTCGGTCACACCTCCGATTTCAATATCGATCTTATCAAGAGACACCGCAGGATGACGACGGGACACCGACGGGACACCCGCGGGACACCGACGTGACACCGACGGGACACCACGCGACACCATCGGGACACCAATCGATTTCATCGTTATCGATGATCTCACCATCGATCCCACCACGGGACACCAACGCGACACGGAACGGGACACCGACGGGACACCGATGGGGCACCGACGGGACACCGAAGGGACACCCACGGGACACCGACGGGACACCGACGGAACAAAAGCTGGCCACCGCCCGCCCACCGCGACGGGACACCGACGGGACAGCGACGGGACACCGGACACGGCGGGACACCCGGGCCACCGCCGGACCATCAGAGGGGGCGGGGGGAAAGACGGGTCAACGGCTCTGACCCGCCCTAGCCACAGCGGAGTCATTCCTCTCGCCCTCTCACGCCGCTTCGCCTCGCCCGCACGCACGACACGAACCCGAAACCGCAACCGATTTTCCGGTGGGGGGCTCTCCGTTCCACTGCGATCTCACCTCCCAACGTCCGATTTTCGTGGCATGGCCTCCTGCCTCCTCGGATTTCTGCCCCCCTGGACGCAGCCGGCCATTGACCCCTGATCCTCCTTCCTCCGCTGATCGTCTGTGCTTTGGTGGAGGAGGAGAATCGAGAAACAGCATGAGCATAACCACAGCGCCGACCGCATTTCTTGGATCGGCGCCGTGGCCCCCCTGGCGTCGCCCCCCCCCCTGACGCGCTCCGCGAGCCAGGGAGGGGGTCCAGCGACGAACCAAGAAATCTTGGCGGAACTTTGGAAGATCTGTTTATGCCGTTGCGAGTTGGGCGAGTACAAGGGTGTGGCGCGGTCCGGACGTGCCTCCCTCGACAGAGAGCATCAAGTTGCATGAGACGTCCGTCGTCGGTTGCCGTTGTCGTCCACTCCCTCATCACGTCCTCGTCATTCGTGTCTCCCTCCTTCGTCCTCATCCTTTTCCTCCGTCTTCTCTCGCTCCTCCTCCTTCTCTCCCCCAGCAGCCTGATGAGTATGACAAGCGTATTGATGTTTCGATGGTTCGCCAAAGTTCTTCTGCACATTCGCTCCTTCACCGAGTAGTCTCGCTTGTCGCAAGCTCGAGCGCAAGTAAGAGCCAACCGCACCAGGGGTGGGTTGAGCCACAGCGGGCGGTCAGGTCTGTGAGGAGCTCGATGTCGACACGGGCCCTGGGGCGGTGTGCCAGGCGGCTGCGCCCGTGCCCGCGTGGAGTGCAGTCGAGGTTTCGGTTTCTTGCCGTCGTCGTCGTCCCCCTGCTCCTCCTCCTCCTCCTTCTCTGGCCTCCTCCTCCGCTCCAGGGAACCTCCAGAAGCATCCAGACCCTTCGCACACTCCGAGGCACATCCGTGACAGCCCCACAAACACTCCCGACGTCATCCGCAGACCTCCGACACCTGCGGGCATCTCCCTGCCCTGTCCCCCTTGTCTTCGTCTTTGGCCGCGCTCGTGCTTGTCTCTTCATCACCGGGAGCGGCGTGGGGGAACGGGGGGTGAACCGGGAGTCCTCGGGGGCTGAAGCTAGCGGCCCTTGCTCACCGACGTGCACCCAGCTGAGAGAGGGGCGGGCGAGAGAGACGGTAAGTAGGAGGAGGAGGAGTAAGAGGAGGAGGAGGAGGAGGAGGAGGGGGAGGAGGAGGAGGAGGAGGAGGAGGAGGAGGAGGAGGATAATGAGCAGTGTAGGGCAAGACGCAACAACGATGCTTCAGCAAACCCTCCCTCCAAGTTTCCTCACTAGTTCTGAGTTGCTTCAACGTGTTCCCATTGAAGAGCGCCGTCTGAGAATCCCCAACGGTCCCAAAGCACAACTCCTGGGACGTCGGCGCCGCGAATCGGATCAGCACGAGTCGTTGCGTCTGGATAATGCCAAGTCGTGCCAGGATACCGTTCGTGGGACCACAAGACCGCGAACCAACGTGGCTGCTGCATCCTGGCAGTCCCAGATCGTGCCAGAGCACGTCCTCGGACTTCAACAACAGGTTGCACATTCCTGAGACTAATGCGTGCGGCGCTTCTGCGAGAACCGCATTTTTAGAAGGAATCGCCATCCGTCCGTGAAGCTGCTGCAAACATCTAAGACACATTTCTGCGGCGCTAGGGCGAGACGAGCTTTTCGAGAACGACCCGTCCTCCATCCGTGAAATAATTGAACACTTTGATGCATAATGTTCGCGGTGCTAAGGCGGCAGCCACATTTTGACACCGGGCCGTCCTCCTTCTGTGCAACTGCTGCAAACTTGTAGAACGAATGTGCGCGGTGCTACGGCGGGAGCCACATTTTGAACATGGTCCGCCCTCTAACCGTGAAGCTGCTGCACACTTGAAGACAAGTGTACGCGGCGCTTCGGCGAGAGCTACATTTTGAAAGCGGCCCGCCCTCCATCCGTAAAACTGTTTCAGGATCATACTGCTGAGGAAGTCTCACGCGAACGCCCGGCCCGTCCTGCCGACACGTCTATGGGTGCGAGAAGGGTGAGTATTTTATGGGAAAGGGATGGAGGATGAGGTAGAAGGATGACGACGAAGGGGAGCTGCTCGCCTCTATCTTGCCGCTGCTCGCCGCGATCTTCTGGCAGCTCAGGGTGCGTGATGATGAATGATGACGATGATGATGCTGATGACGATGACGATGATGATGATGATGATGATGATGATGATGATGATGATGATAACCATGATGCCGATGATGCTGATGATGTCGATGATGCTGATTTTGATCATGAAGATGATGGTGATGATGATGACGATGATGATGATGATGACGATGATGATGATGATGATGATGATGATGATGATGATGATGATACTGCTGATGATGCTGATGCGGCAGACGATGATGCTATTGGTGGTGACGCTGATCAGGATGATGATTCTGCTGCTGCTGCTGTTGTTGAGGATGATCATTCTGAGGATGATGCGGATAATGCTTGTGTTTTTGATGATAACGATGACGTCAGTGGTGGTGCTGATGATTCTGATGTTTGTGATGGCGATCATGATGATGCTGGTGGTGGTGGTGGTGGTTTGGATGATGATGATGATGCTGATGATGATGATGATGATGATGATGTAGAAGCTGATGGTGATGATGATGATGATGATGTTGATGCTGATGTTGATGTTGATGATGATGATGATGAAGATGATGATGATGATGATGATGATGATGATGATGATGATGATGATGATGATGATGATGATGATGATGATGATGATGATGATGATGATGATGATGCTGATGATGATGATGATGATGATGATGATGATGATGATGATGATGATGATGATGCTGATGATGATGATGATGATGATGATGATGATGATGTCGGTGATAATGATCATGATGATGATGACGATGATGAGGAGTTTGAGGAACAGGAGGAGGGGGAGCAGGGGGCAGGAGCACGAATAGAAGACGGAAGGGGGAATCTGACGTGCAGGAACATGGTTGTTACTGAAGCGTTGGGCAGTGATGATGGCAAAACACACCAGAATGTCGACGATACTGACGATGACGCCGATGCCGACGACGACGTCGAGGCACCGCCGACACAGATGATGGTGAGTATGCTGATGGTTGTGATGAGGATGGGGATGATGATGATGGTGATGATGATGACGACTACGATTGAGATGACGACGATGATGATGCTGATGCTGTTGGTGATGATTAGGAGGATGCCGCTGCTGTTCATAATGACGATGCTGACGATGATGCTGACGATGATGCTGATGCTGCTGATGCTGATGATGATGCAGATGAAGATGAAGCTGACGCTGATGAGCATGCTGATGACGCTGATGACGCTGATGATGATGATGATGATGATGATGGTGATGCTGATGTTGATGATGATGATGCTGATGCGGCTGATGATGATGACGATGACGCTGATGATGATGATGATGATGACGATATTGGTGATGATGACGATGATGATGATGCTGATGTCTGTGTTGATACTTATGCTGATTATGCTGATGCTGATGCGGATGAAGATTATGCTTCTGCTGATGCTGATGCTGCTGTTGATGACGATGACGATGACGATGACGATAATGACGATAATGATGATGATGCTGATGATGATGATGCTGATGATGATGATGATGAGGATGATGATGCTGACTATGTTACTGATGATGATAATGCTGATGATGATGATGATGCTGATGATGATGATGATGCTGATGATGATGATGCTGGCATTGATGATGACGATGATGCTGATGCTGATGCCGATGATGATGATGATGATGATGATGATGATGATGATGATGATGATGATGATGCTGCTGACGATGACGATGATGATGATGATGGTGCTGATGGTGTTGATGATGGTGGCGATGATGATGCGGCTGCTGCTGTCGTTACGATCATTATTGTACTGATCATGATGACGATGCTGCTGCTGCTGATGATGATGATGCTGATGATGATGATGGTTATGTTTATTGTTATGAACGTTGGTGAGGAGACGGAACAACATGACGATGATAAGGTGGAGGGATGGAGTAGGAACAGGAGTAGGAAGAATGAGGAGTTGTGCGTTTCGGGCGCAGTCCTTATAAGGAGCTCCGCAGCAGTTCTACTGCAGTCACATCGGGCCGTTTGGGAAACGCTCTTTTCTCATCTACTCTGTCCTTCTCCTCTTCGCCCCACCTCACTCCCAATGGTATTTTGGCTGGAGGGGAGGTATGAGAACAGGGGGACCAAGGGAGCATCGTACACCCCTTCATCGCCGCCTACGGCGCCACGGGATGGGGAGAGAGAAGGGTTGGTGGGGAGGAGGAGGAGGAGGAGGAGGAGGAGGAGGAGGAGGAGGAGAAGGACAGAGGATAGAGAAATGAGTTCAGAGAAGGATACCGAGGTCGAGGACGAATGCGAGGAGGGGGAGGAACACGAGGAGAGGAGGGGAAAGCGTGGATCAGGTTTGTGTCGCCCGTCGGGGCTCCGCACCGAGATTGTGATGGGGTAGCCCTCTTCCTAACTCCGAGGAGTGCGCAGTGCCGCGTTGGACCAGAGCCCCACCACAGGAGGGGGAAGAGGTGGATCATGCTTGTCGCCCGTCGAGGCTCCGCCACTAGAAAATGTGATGGGGTAGTCTTCGTAAGTCCGAGGTGTGTGCAGGGCCGTGGTGGACCAGAGCCCCACCACAGGAGGGGGAAGAGGTGGATTATGTTTGTCGCCCTTCGGGGCTCCGCCACTAGAAAATGTGATGGGGTAGTCCACGTCGTAAGTCCGAGGTGTGTGCAGGGCCGTGGTGGACCAGAGCCCCACCACAGGACGAGGATGAGGTGTGAGGAAGGGGGGGAGAGACTCTTGCCCTGTGGTTGGCCAGCCACAGTAGGTGCGGGCCTTCCGTACCACCCCTGAGAGGCCCGATAGGGGTTACTCGAAGGGGTCCCCCGACGTGGGGGGCGCGGGAACTTCTGGCCTTGGGCAGCGGGGTCTCCGCTGCTTGAGGCCGGCGGCCAAGTGGGGGTTGGTGCAGGTGGGCGTGTCTCGGGGTGGCATCTCGAGGCGCTTCTCAACGGCGGCGCAGATGTGACGCTTGGGACGGGTCTGTGCCGCCGTTTATGTTGCGAGGTCCGAATGCATGTGAATTCATGCAGGCACCTTGGGCACCTCCTTGCGGGTTGCGTCGCCCAGGTGTTCTGTCTGGGCCCCCCCCAAAAAGGGGAGCAGGGGAGGAGGCGAGAATACGTGAGGGAACAGTTCATCCTGGTGTATCAGACTTTGGACTTCCCACGCAGTCTCATCAGCTCGCCCCTCAGCTTGTGCTGGTTGGAGTGGCGGAGCGGTGCTGCTGGTGTACGATGTCGAGTTCTGTAGTCAGCTTGTGCGCCAGCTCGGTGTGTGTGTGTGTGTGTGTGCGTGCGCAGCGGATGCTCGGTCGAGTCCACCGCTGCTCCCGAGTGCGGCGGCGCAGGCTTCTCTCCAGGGCGGGTCGCCATCTGGTAGAATTCTCCTTCGGCGGCCCCTGCTTGGTGGTTTGGGCTGCTCTGGAACTGGACGCGTGCGGGGGGTCCTTGTGGAACCATGGCGCTCACGCGGTGCTGAAGGGTTTTGCGACGCCAGTTTGTCACGACCTGGGTCGTGTCCAGTGTCGCGAATCAGGAATATATGCTCGATTTGTTGCGTCAGGGCTTGCTGTGAACAAGGTTATCGAGCCGCGACCGGGGAGAAAGAGACACAGAGGGAGAGAGATACAAACAATCCAGAGAGAAGCGTACAGAAAGAGTGGATGGACAATTCGCTGAAATTCGCTGGTAACCAACATGTGTTAGAGAGGGGAGGAGGGGGAGGAGGAGAAGAAGGAGGAGGAGGAGGAGGAAGAGGAGGAGGAAGAGGAGGAGGTTGAGTATGAGGAAGAGGAGGATGAGAGGAGAGGACGGAGGAGGAGGAGGCGGAGATGAGGAGGAGGAGGAGGAGGAGGAGGGCAGGAGGAGGATGAGGGAGGAGGAGAGGGGGAGGAGGGGGAGGAGGAGGAGGAGGAGGAGGAGGAGGAGGAGGAGGAGGAGGAAGGTTGAGGGGAGGAAGGATGAGGAGGAGGAGGAGGAGGAGGAGGAGAGGAGGAGAGGAGGAGGAGGGGGATGGAGGAGGACGGCGAGGAGAGAGGAGGAGGAGGAGAGAGGAGGAGGAGGAAGGAGTGGAGTTGGGGAGGAGAGGTGGGGAGGAGGAGGCAGGAGGAGGGGAGGAGGAGGAGGAGGGGAGGATGGAGAGGAGGAGGAGGAGGAGAGGGGAGGGGAGGAGGGGAGGAGAGGAGAGGAGGAGAGGAGAGGATGAGGAGGAGGAGGGAGGAGGAGGAGGAGGAGGAGGAGGAGGCAGGAGGAGGAGGGGAGGAGGAGGAGGAGGAGGAGGAGGAGGAGAGAGAGGAGAGGAGGAGGAGGAGGAGGAGGAGGTTAGGAGAGGAGGAGGAGGAGGAGGAGGAGGAGTAGGAGGAGGAGGAGGAGGAGGAGGAGGAGGAGGAGGAGGAGGAGGGGAGGAGGAGGAGGAGGAGGAGGTAGGAGGAGAGAGGGAGGAGGAGGAGGAGAGGAGGAAGGAGGAGAGGAGAGGAGGCGGAGTCGGAGGAGGAGGAGGAGAGGAGGATGAGGAGAGAGGAGGAGGTGAGGAGGATGAGGCGGGGAGGAGGAGGAGGAGAAGAGAGGAGGAGGAGGGGAGGAGGAGAGGAGGGAGTAGGGAGAGGAGGAGAGGAGGGAGGGAGGAGGAGCAGGAGCAGGGAGCAGGAGGGGAGGAGGGAGGAGGAGGAGGAAGGAGAGGAGGAGGAGGAGAGGAGTAGAGGCGGAGGAGGGAGGCGGGGGATGAGGAGGAGGAGGAGGAGGAGGAGAAGCTAGAGGCAGAAGAGAGGAGGAGGAGGAGGAGGAGGAGGAGGAGGAGGAGGAGGAGGAGGAGGAGGAGGAGGAGGAGGCGAAGGAGGCGGAGGAGGAGGCGCGGCACGAGGGCTGCTTCGTCGTGCCCCTTTTTTCGTGGTTCAACGCCGAGTTCGACGAGCACGACCCCTGGCCCGTCGGGGGCTCGGCTCCGGCGGCCCTCCTCGCGCCGTGGCCGGCCTCCGCTGCCGCCCCGCCCCTGTGGTCCTGGCCAGTTTTGCGGCGGAAGGTTGCGCGGGTGAGCTGCCAGCGCAGTTGTGTTTGGCTTCGTCGCCCTCCCCGTCGTCCTCCTCCTTTCCCCTCCTGCTCCTCATCCCCTGCTTCGATTCCCTGCTCCTCCTCCCCTTGCTCCTGCTTGCTCGTCCCCCTCCGGATCTCCTCCCTGCTCCTCCTAGCTGCTCCCGCCTGCAGGCCGGAGGGCGCGGGGAGGCGGGGTGGGGGTGCGGGGGAAGGGTATAACCGAGCACCCCCGATAGTAATGTATCCCCCCGTGACCCCCGAGAGAGTTGACTATCCCGGGCCAAGACAGAGTTGTTCGTGGGATAGGGGCGGCGAGACCGAAGTTCACTATCGCTGGGGAAGGTCCGAATCGAAGTTCGAGAGCATGCCGGGGGTAGCCCGAAGTCATCCCTTCTCTCCACTCGCTCGTTTCTCTTCCTTTCGTCCTCTCCTCTCCCTCGTGCTCCTCCCTCAGGCCCTTTTCCCCCCAACTTTTTCGAAGTGAATCTCTGGGATTGTTATCAGCGGCAACCGCCCACCATGAGTTCCATACATGTGCACCTAAAAACGATCTAGAATAATGCTGTTTTAAATTCAGAAAGCTCAGGTCTCGAATCAGATATGTCCGAAAACCGACCCCCGATCGACCGAGTAGGGATATCCTCCGGCCCCTTCGAGGAGGCCCCGCCAGAGCGAGCAATATATCGTTTATCCATACTAGCATGTCATCGTGCCTACGAGTTGCCGGGTGAAAAATGCTACGCCCCGAACCCCCGCACTGTACTATTCAGGAGGGGAACACACACAGACACGATTAATCGTCGATTCCCTGGAAACTATAGGAACATATGGGAAGTGGGCGGTGGGCGGGAAGACACAAATCCAGCAAACATAGGAAAATATGGGGACTCCGGTTATTTGTGTGTAGTTATCCGTGTGTGTTCCAGGGCCCCTTCAAGTATTCCCACCCTGTGCTTATCAGGGGCATGGGGTTGCCGCCCCTGCCCGAGGGCCTGCTTCGGACATGGGCTGCGTCTTCCGCCTCCCTCTCCTCCCCTCCTCCTCCGCCTCCCCTTCCCCTCCCTCTCCTCCTCCTCCTCCTCGTCGTCCTCCTCCTTCTCCTCGTCCTCCTCCTCCTTTTCCCTCTCCTCCTCCTCCTCCTCCTCCTCCTCCTCCTCCGCCTCCCCTTCCCTTCCTTCCCCCTCCGTCTTCCACGTCCTCCTCCTCCTCCTCCTCCTCCTCCTCCTCTGGCTCCTCACCCTCTTCTTCATATTATCATGTCCTCATGACCTCGTATCCTCCGCGCAACGCTGGGCACGGCGTTCGTCTATCCCTCATGCTCCATCCTCCCGCCATCGCCCTCTTCGACTCTTCCCCCTGCTTCCATCTCCGAGCCCTGCCTCTGTCGTCCTCCGTCCTCCCTCCTGCCCCCCGCTTCCCCCCCTCCGCGTGCGGTCGCGGTCGCGAAGGGAGGAGAGAGGGAGGAAGGGCGGAATGAGGGAGGAGACGGGCAGAGGAGGAGGAGGAGGAGGATGAGGAGGATGAGGAGGAGGAAGAGGGAGGGAGGTGGGAGAGAGGGAGAAAGGGAGGGAGAGGAAGAGGGGGGGAGGAGGAGAAGGAACAGCACCTTCCACTATTTCCCTCGCAGCCCACTCGCCGACCAACGTCTGCCACCTCACCAGGCCTTGCCGCCCAAGGGCTCTCCGTCTTCGGACAAGCCATCCTCGATTGTGGCTCCTGCCAGGCGGCCGCCGCCCCAGGACAGTCACCATACTCGAGCAACCAAGGCAAACGGGGTCGTCTCCACCGACGAGGTCGCGTGCGCTGCCCGCGCAGCGGCGCGCGTAAGTGCCTTCGTTGCAAATGTAGCGCGCCGCACTGGCGGCCCGCGTAAGCCACGGCACAAGGTCGCAAGTGGTTTCTCGTGGACGCTCGATTGGGGACACCGGCCTTGCGGGGTTCGAGGTCGGTCGGGTGAGGCTGGAGGTCGATAGGCTGGGGTCGAGAGCTGAAAGTAGAAGGTTGGGTACCGTCAGCTGTTGGTGGAGGGTGCGAGTCGGAGGTTGGAAGATGGAGATCGGTAAGGTGAAAAGGGAAGGCGACTTCTGACCGGGCCTCATTCTATGACGCCTCGGCAGCACCCCCCAGACTGTGCCCATGTGCTGGCGTGCTTCTCTGGGCCTCCTGGATGGGGTCGGAGTAACTAGGTCAGAGGATCGCGCCGCATCGCCGCTGCATCGCCGCTGCGGCTCGATGCAGAGCACGAGCTGCTTCACGTCGACGTCGCCGATGCGTCGCCGAGACGCCGACGATGCATCGCCGGCGCGTCGCCGACGCACCGCAGATGCATCGCCGACGCGGCGCGATCCTCCGACCCCATCTGCTCCGGCCCCACCTGGGAGGCCTCTCGAGTTCCCTGCTTCGTGCTCCGTGCTCACGGGGCTGGCCTCCCGAGCCGCAGCCCTCGCCCCCCCCCCGCAGGGGGGCCCCCTCGGAGGCGGCCGCGTGCCGTGGGCCGCGGGCCGCCCGGGGGAGCGCGAGGCGCGCGAGGGGCGCGCCCTCGGCGAGCGCGAGGTGCGCGACGGCGGGCGAGGCCCGGCCTCGCTGGCCTCGGGTCTCGGAGGCTGACAGGCCTCCTGCCCTGACACGTCGAGGAGCGAATTAATTGGCCGTTTCCGGTTCGCGAGAGGGCGTCGCGGCCGTCATTTTTGCGAGTCCAGGTCCGTCGGTGTCGGTCCTGGGCCGCTTTCACCCAAGGGATGCTTACGAAAGGGAGGTTCGTCCATCGTCGAAGGTCGGGCATGGCCTCCTGCAGGTGGATTTTGGAAGAAGATCGGAGCATAGGCGCAACATCTTTGAACACTGCCAGAGTTGGTCAACCACTTGTCCCCATCATCTGTTTGGCTGAGTATTCCTCCTCAAGAGGGACATGTTCTAGGCCTCCTAGAGGGGGCCGGAGCAGATGGGGTCAGAGGATCGCGCCACATCGCCGATGCATCGACGATGCGGCTCGATGCGGAGCCTGATTTGCTTCACGCCGACGTCGCAGATGCACCACCTGCGTCGCTGGTGAATCGCCGATGCATCGCCGATGCATCGGCGATGCGG